ATCCCCTTTTTTTTTTTTTTTTTAAACAAGCAAGTACTAATGCACTTTTTTTATTCCTCAACCATATTTGGCACAATTTTTCACCAGCTGGTCCAAAAAAAGGTGAATTCTGGCAATCTTACTAGACAAAGGTTCCTAGCCCAAGTCATGCTCAATGGTAGGTAGCACTTGTAGATTTGTGAACTGACATTAACCCAGATCTGGCTGCTTTGCATAGCTTCTGCAAAATCTGGGTTGAAGACTGCTACTGGCCTGGCATGGTCAGTGTTTTAAGTGTTTTATATTTTTAGGGTCTCTCTGAACCCTACATCTCACTAGCAGCCAGAATTGTCCAGGGGGCTTCAGTGCAGTGCAGAGCAATAGTGAATTATCTGGATGGATATGGTGCCCAGGAACACTGAAAGTACATCAGGAAAAGCTACCCTTGACACAGCCAAAAGAATACCTCAAGGAAAGAACGGTCACCCTTACCGTGAATGAAAAATGGCTTGGCGACAACGAACAGCAGATCTGGGATTTTGAAAAGCAGGGTGCAGTCAGGATCAGGCCTTTGGCTTCTAGCACTGGCAGGACTTTGCAGGCACTACTGGGTGCCCACCTGATGTGGGAATGACAATAAATATTCTAGCCCTTCCTACCTATGCTCCATTCCCAGAGATCCCCTGGACTCTGAAATCAAATTAACAGACTCCTCCCCACCACCAAAACAGAATTAAGAGCTCTTTTGTTGGGGAAACATTTTCCACACAAAAGTAAATCGTTTTTACATTGCTGTACCCTGAAGGCAAAGAACCTAGGTGTCAGGCAAAACAAACTTACTATGCTATGCAGCAGCACACTCTCAACCATGCTGTGCACTCTCTCCTGAACTGGAAGCAGCAAAGCTGTATTCATGCAGCGCTGCTAAGAGTCAATGGTCACAACTGCGGCAACCTCGATTTTAGTTTGCAAGGCAAGTGTGGTGCACAGAAACACAGCATGTGTGAAGGCAACACTACCTGCTGTAATAAGTTTGCAATACAGTCAAGTACCATGACTTCAGAATGGCTTTCCTTGATTTTCACCAAGCTAAAAATGTAATTAAAGAGTTTTTACTTAAAAAGACAGTGGGTTTGATTCGGTGTTGTGCTCCAGTTTTACAACTGTTATCTGTCATCATCAAATGAGAGTGCCTTCAATGGAGTTATACTTGCATAAAACAGATCAATACTTTTGAAAGCAAGGTCATTATAGAAATGAAATCATTCTTCCATCAGATCAATTCCACTCAGAAAATGGCAAGATTATGTTTTAGGCCACATTTCTGCAGTAGTAAACTAAGATTTCTCTCAGCTGATTTCTCACTTTTGTCCACTTGGCACAAGTTTTCTCAGACAAAGACAATTTTTATAAAATTCCAATTTCCCTCATTTCTTTGTCTTATCATCTTGGGAAAAAATGCAAAACTCTATGCAACTCCTTAACTGTAACAGCCAATACTTTCCAAAAGTAGGATGCTCATATGAGATTTTTTAAAAGTATATTTATGTCAAACTACAGTCAAACTGTAGCTAGTGAAACTCTCATCCGAAGATGACCACAACTGCCAAAAGAAAACTGAAGATGGCACAATAGCAGCAGCATGCCTCTTAAGCAACACAGGCTGATACAAATACACCACACACCTGTGCTTTGCAAACTCCACTGGCTCCCCATTCGCTTCATAACAGAATTCAAAGTCCTGGTCTTGACTTACAAAGCCCTCAAAGGTGACCTGCAAAGGAAAAAAATTGGGTTTGACCCTTTTTCATTTGCTTGCTTTGCTGCTTTATTATGCACAAAGAAGGCTTAAAAAATGGTTTGCCCATGCTTGTTTCTAACCTTAAAATCAGCAGCAATTGCAAGTCCAGTTTTGCTGGAAGACTTGTTGGAGGCTTCAGAGATACCATTTACAAGCTCCCTCAAGTCTTTAATTGACCAACGCAGCATGCTGAATCCCAAGTCAAACATATTTCTGCCCAAGGACTTGTTAAGTGTTCACATGACCAAAAGCCTAAAGAAGTTTAAAATCAACAGTCACTTTCCCTCTCAGTGAGGTTTTACTTGCATGGTATCTCTGGTAACACACTACCAGTTCTTCAGTAATCCACAGGATTTTTTCAAGGCAGACAAGACCTGAATTGGTAACATAAA